GAGGTTTCTTCCAAGTGTTTTGCAAATATTTAGGGTTTAGCTTTTACAAAATCTGTTCCCAGCGTGGCAGGCAGAGAAAAAGGGGATTTTTGATGCTTTTTGAAGCTTTGAAGGCACTGGGATTGCCTTGCTGCAAGGGGAACAGGGATCCTGGTCCCAAAGCTGGGGACGAGCTCTCTGCTCTCACAGAATTTAATTCATTTGGAGGCTGCAGCACTATTATTTTTTAATAAGAGCCATTGGCACAGTTGCTCAGGTCCCCAGTGTGCTCCTGCCTCTGCCCGGCATCGCTCCCCTTCCCACCCCTCCTGCCCCTGTGCCAATTAAAAATCCTGCCTAATTGCTGCCCTTCTGCCCTGCCAGCTCAGAGAGGCCGGGCAGGAGCAAACCAGGAGCTCAGGGCTGGAAATGCCAGTGCTGTTCTGGAAGAGGGGCAGGGCAGGGCAGGGATGGAGGGTGAGGTTGGGTAGGATGCTCAGGGCTCCAGGAAAATGCCCCTTCCCAGGGTGAATGTGGCAGTGGGACCATGGGAAGACAGAGCTGGGGCAGACGCTTTCCTTGAGCTGCTTTTTTGGGGTCAAGCCCTCCATTGCAGCTTTTTTCCCATCTGGAAAAGGGGTGAAAAGCTTTTTCCTTTGGGAACACGGGGAGGGCGAGGCCCATCCCCTGCTCAGGGAAGCTTCCAGCCAGCCACACGTCGCCTTCGGCAGCTTTATAAAGATTCCCTGCCGAGATTACTTCTTTCATTTATTGCAAAATATTGTAGCGCCTTCGATGTGTAAAAATAAGGATTGTCCCATCTTATCTCAGAAGGAATGGGGAGGGGAGGGAGGGAGCAGCACGTGTCTCTGGTGCTGCTGTTAACCAGTGAGGTGCCATGTCCTGCCACATTCCCTCTCAGCTTCTCCCTGAGGAGTCCTTGCTCAGGGCTGTGGTGCTGCTGGTGCTGACCCCCAAATTGTTCCTTCTGTGCACCCATCCTGCTCCCCATCCCCTTCCAGAGCTGGCAGCTGCCAAGGCAGTGCAGTCTCATGGGCTGGAAATTAAAGACACAAATTGCTGGTGCCCATGCTCATCTTCCTCCAGGGAAGAAGGAGCCCAGCCAGGGATGTTGTTCCAGCACCATGCTGGGGGTCACACAGGCACCTGGGCTGTGGGAGCAGAGTGGAGCTTCCTGCTGTGTACTGAGTGTCCATCCTGCCCTTCCTGGTCCAGAGCGTCCTTCCCAGTACCAAGCATCCCTCCTAGTAGTGAGGATCCACTCTGTCCTTCCTGGTTCTAAATGTTGTTCCTGATCCTGAACATCCTTCCCAGGACTGAGCATCCTTCCTGGTCCTGAGCATCATTCCTCCTTCCTGCTCCTGGGCATCTTTCCTGGTGCCATTTTGATCCCACAACTGCTTTAGCCAGGCAGACCCTGCTTAGCTTCCCTTCTTTCTTCCCATCTTCCTTTTTTTCCCTTGACCTTGTGGGCTGTGGCTGCAGCCAGGGATGGTGTGGGGGTCCCTGGGGACACCAGGGGTCAGAGGAATGCAGGGGATGCAAGGAATACTGTGCAGGTGGGGGATTTGGGAGATGCAGGGAATGCTGGATGTGTGGGGGATGTGAGTGATGCCAGCAGCAGGTGGGCACATTTGAGGAGGTTTTGGGAGGGATTTCTCCCACCTCTCCCACCTTTCCTGCAGCCCTCCCAGGTCCCTGTCGGACATTTTGCCTCATCCTGCTGCTCTGGGCACAGCAAGGCTGGAGCTCCCTGCTCCATAAACCAGAGATTTATCCCGGACCGAGGCCCCAGCGGGGTCTGGGATTTACATCTGTGTCTGGGACTGGGTTTGGTGGCCAATTTGCTAAAGTAAAAAGTTGTTTAGCTGGAGGCGTAATCTCATAAGCCCGTGCTGCCATTAGCTGGGGTCTCCTCGCTGCCTGGCTTTCCAATAATGCTCCAAGCAGAAGCTCAGAGTAATATAAAAAGCCATCGGATTATTACTGCGGGCGATGCATTTTCCATTTACAGTAATAAAATACTGAAGAAACAAAACAATTTAAAATTCCAATAAAATTCAAACCAAATCTTCGGCTGCTGAGCAGATTCAATTATTTAGCTGTTATTGAGTGCAGGCTGGAAAAATAGAGCAGGTCAGGGAGGGAGGGGGAGCTGGGGGGTGCCGGACGCATCCCATGGGAATGCCAGTGAGGGAGGGAGCTGGGAGGCAGGGAAACATCTGGGAGGAGGGGCTGGTCGCTGGCAGTGCTTGGGCTGGGTTTAGGGATGGCAAGAGGTGGTGATGGCTGTGCCATGCACAGGGGAGTTCAGGAGGGGATGGACACCAGGACAAACAGCCAGTGGCAGTGTCAGGGCTGGCTCCGATGCTCCAAGTTCAGGAGGGGATGAACATGGAGGACAAACAGCAAATGGCAGTGTTGGGGCTGGATCTGATGCTCCAGGTTGAGGAGGGGATGGAAATGGAGGACAAACAGCCAGTGGCAGTGTTGGGGCTGGATCTGATGCTCCAAGTTCAGGAGGGGATGGACACGGAGGACAACAGTGAGTGGCAGTGTTAGGGCTGGCTCCGATGCTCCAAGTTCAGGAGGGGATGAACATGGAGGACAAACAGCAAATGGCAGTGTTGGGGCTGGATCTGATGCTCCAGGTTGAGGAGGGGATGGACACGGAGGACAAACAGCCAGTGGCAGTGTTGGGGCTGGATCTGCCCGCCGGTGCCGCGGTGGCTCGGGCAGTTTGCATCTCGCAGCAATTAGAGCCCTCTGGAAAGCAGTAATTACTGCGGAGAGCGGCACGCCGGCGTGCCGGCAGCCGCCGGGAGAGCGGCTCTCTGTAATTTTCCCGGCGGGGGTGCGGTGCGTCACCCTGAGATGTGACAACACACCGAATTGGTGGCTTGTCACATCCAACGCAGCTGGAGCAAAGAGGTGACAAAGGCTGCTGCGGGCACACCGGGGCTGGCAGGTAATGGCCAAGGCCAGGCTGGGATCACCGGGCTTGTCCCATGGCACAGAGAGTGTCACCTGTAGCCTCAGTGCTTGGGGACAGGGTTTTGGTTATCCCCGTCAGGGAACCGTGGTGCCCGCAGGTGACACCCCCTCCTTCCCTCCCTCCTGCAAAAGCCCCTTGGTTTTTTAATATTTTTTCCCTCGGAAAGGAGCATTTCCATGGTATGGGCTCATTAGGGATTCTGCAAGTGTCACCAGCTAATTAGTGTCATGTTAATTGAGTATTCACGATGCTGCCACCTCCAAGGACAGTGGTGCTGGCATGAAGGGGAATGCAGATGTGCTGTGCCGTGCCATTCCATGCTGTGCCATTCCATGCTGTGCCATTCCATGCTGTGCCATTCCGTGCCTCTGGACAGAGGGGTCCCATTCTCAGCCCCCTGCACTCCCTGTCTTGGAGGGTGCCCATGCCCAGCAGAGCCCACCATGCCCCCTCAGTGTGCCCTCACTGCCCTGCTGGCTCTGCAGGAGCTTCCCAGAGGCTGGAGGCTCCGTGCCTGGGATGTCCTGGTGCCACACGTCCTCACGTGTCCTGCCAGAGGGAGCTGCTGGTGCTGTTCCTCCTGTGTTCCGACAGCTCCTCTAAATCCTCCTCAAAGGCACTGGTTTTAATTGGCTTAATACACTCGTTAATAACAATGTCTATTTAAGACACCTGTAAAAAGCCCGTAACATCAGCTTAATGGGGGCAATGGCTGGCGCAGGCGCTGTGTCCTGCCTGGGCAATTCCCTCAATTCTCTGATGGAGAGCATGGGGAGCACGGAGAGTGGCCATGGATGGAGAGCATGGAGAGCATGGAGAGCAGCCACAGCCTCGCTGCTGTCCCCCCTCTGCTGCTGGGAGCAGGGGTGATGTGGACAGTCACAGATTCCAGTGCATCCCTCCTGCTGAATCCTGCTTTTAGCAATGCCTGGTTCATCTGGGCATGTCACAGCCATGGGAATGTCACTCAGAGCAGGATTGGGACAGGAAATCCCCTCATAGGGAATGTGGAATGTACCCAGAGGTGCAGCTCTTCCGTGGTGACTTTCACACCCAGGATGTGGTGGCATCAGGGGTTGCTGATGCTGGTGGCAGCAGGAGCAGAGTGCTCCAGGTACTACTGGGGGGATGAACTGCCTGGGAAAGCTGGGTCTCCCCAAAACCCCCAATTTTACCACCTCTCCCTTGCAAAACCTTCCCCTGGGCAGGCACCAGGTCTGGCTTTCCCAGTGTGCTGTAGACATTCCTTGGCAGGGCTGGGAATTTTGGGAACCAACTGGGAACCAACCATCATTCCCATGTTCCAACGTGTACGTGCACGTGCCTGCGTGCGTGTGTGTGTGTGAGTGTGTGTGGAGATTTTAAACACCTAATTTATTCCATCTATTAGATAGATTTTGTAGATTTAATCATTTTCACAGTTGGTGGCTCATTGGATACTCAAGATAAACTCCAAATGAAAGTATAATGGGAACGACAAATGAGTTTTCACACCAGAATGGCAGAAACTTGCTCAGGAAAGAGTTTGAAAGGAACAAAACTATATACATATATAATTTTTTTTTCTGCAGTGGCTTTTGCTGACTCCAGTAGGTTACCACAGTTAATTTCACCAGTTTTGTTCATCTGTAAAATTGCATAAAAGTGACATTTTTGTGCTCATTATAGGAACTGCTGATTTATGGCTGGTAAATGCAATGCTTTTCCATTTTTGGTGAGGTTCTCGTAGCAGCGCAAAGCACCCATGAAATTGCTTGTATAATGTAGTTTAAATCCAATCTCAGAGAAAGATTCCCCCGTTGGGTAAAGTGACATTTCCATTCTCCACACCGAGTTTATTTTAGGCCACTTACAAGTGGCTCCCGTCAGCGGGAGGGGACAGCTCGGTGCCGTGACCTGCTTTCTGCCGGGAGCGGGTGGGATCCGCCCGGGGGAGGACGGTGCTGGGCTGCTGGGTCCCCTCATCCTGGTGGCACTGGATTCACCCCAAGCTTTGCTCCCGCAGGCGAGACGGCCCCCATGCATTCCCCGCGCTACCCCAGCCCCGCCGAGCTGGACGCCTACGCACAGAAGGTGGCCAACAGCCCGCTGACCATCAAGATCTTCCCCACCAACATCAGGGTCCCCCAGCACAAGCACCTTAACCGGACGGTGAACGGCTACGACACCACGGGGCAGAGGTACAGCCCCTACCCCCTGCACGCCGGCGGCTACCAGGGGCTGCTGGCCATCGTCAAAGCCTCCGGCAAAAGCGTGGTGAAGAACTCGGAGGGGAAGCGGACTAAGCTCTCGCCCGCCCAGGTGGGCGTCGCTCCCTACCCCGCCTCAAGCACTTTAGCTCAAGGTCCCTCCTGCGCCGGGCAGCTGAGCTACCACGGCGGCCAGAAGCAGCTGGAGGGTCCCGTGCCCCCCAACGTGACGGTGGCGGCCTCGGTGCTGCCGCTGGCGGGCAGGAGCCTGGCCCTGCCTCCCTCCAACCTGCCCTCCATCCAGAGCATCATCTACCAGATCAATCAGCAGTGCCAGGCGCAGGGTGCCCAGCCCGGCTGCCCGGCTGTGGTGGCAGCCCACCCCAGCCCGGCCAAGCACGGCGCCTTCGGCCCCGGCTACGGCGGCACCGTCCTGCCCGAGTGCCGCAAGGGCGCCGAGCTGGCGCTGGGCTCCAACCCGGCCGCCGCCCTGGGACCCAAGGCGGGCGTTTACCCCGAGGGCATGGACTACCTGGTGTGGCAGCAGAAGCAGCAGCAGCAGCACCTGCGAATGTACAGCGGGGGCAGCGGCGGCGGGGGGGCTCTCAGCAAATCCCCCGAGACGTGCGCGGGCGCCTCGCGGCCCTACGGCCTGGGCGGCGCCGCCGACAAGGTGAGCTCGTCCCCCTTGAACTGCATGCACGGCAACTTCGCGGTGGGGCAGTACTTCGCTCCCCCCTGGAACAGCATCCTGGTGACCCCCAACAGCGACTGTTACAACCCCCCGGAGCTGGGGGCCGGGCCCCGCGAGCTGGGGGTGCCCCCGGCCGAGGGGCTGCCCAGCAAGACCCTCTGCAATACCTCCATCCTCAGCAGCAGCCTCCAGTCCCTGGAGTATCTCATCAACGACATCCACCCGCCCTGCATCAAGGAGCAGATGCTGGGCAAGGGCTACGAGACCGTGTCTGTGCCAAGGCTCTTGGACCACCAGCACGCCCACATCCGCCTGCCCGTCTACAGATAAGGGACCGATGCTGCTCTTCCCAAACCCAGGGCGAGGACTTTGGCGCGAGCTGCGGGCACCGGACCGCGGCAGCGAGGGCAGGGGGACAGGGAGGGGGACGCGGGGTCGGCGGCCGAAAGTGCTCCCGGGACGCTGGCATTGCACCGGGGTCCCCAGACTGGACACACCCGCGACCCGCTGGAAGCCGAGGCCGAAGGACCGCTTGTCTATATAGCTCAGAAATCATTTTATCTCCACGAATGTGAACAGGGAATTGCTACGAGTTGCTGCTATCCAGGGAGGGGAGGCTCTGCTGCGCTGGCGGTGCCCAGAGCGGGGCAGAGCCCGGTGTCGTGGCCGGCTGGGAGGCTCCAGGGTGGGTCTGGGAGGCTCCGTGGTGGCCAGGGCTGAGCTGGCAGCTGTCCAGGAGGCTCCGTGGTGGCCAGCCCTGGCACGGCAGTGGCTGGGAGGCTCAGTGGTGGCCAGTGCCAGCCTAGTGGTGGCCGGTCCCAGCCCGGCGTGCGGCCGGTGCGTGGCCGCAGGGAGCTGGCGCCTGACCTGTAGCTGAAGTCCGTAACTTGCACTGCTTTGATTAAAGCTAATAACTGGGGACAGTCTGGAGGCTATTTAAGAAAAACACTTGAAAACTTGAACAGTTTTTTTGGTTTTTTTAATTTTGGTTTGTTTTTGTTTTTTTTTTTTTTTTTTTTAGTTGACTAGGCTATGTGTTGTACACAACAGTACATCTATGTGTTGGCTGCTACAGAGTCTCCTCCCACCCCTCTTCCTCCTCATCCTCCTCCTCTCACCTGGCCCCACAGTGGCCATGGCTCCTATTCCCACTCAACCAGGAGGTTCGGGACCCCCTCAGCCCCTCTCTCCTGGGAACCCCTGGCTCTCACACTTCCAGGCTGTTTTATTTCCTCCCTTACTGTCAGTTCTACCTTGGTTCTGGGTCACGGTACTGGGGCGCTCACATACCTCCTTTTTTTTCTCTTTTAAAAAAAAAAAAAAAACAAAAACCCAAACAATTCCAAAATTATTATGGTCCGTTATTCACTCTGTGTAATTCTGTGTTTAATAGATTTGTTCATTTACAAAAGGCTCCTCACCACGAAATACAAAGTGTTTTGATGTTTAAAGGTAAAAGAAGAATAATATCCCGATGAAACCCAAGGTGATTGTGCTCGGAAAAGAGGTACTGTATCCCTGAAAGCCTGTTCAAGCACTAAGTGCATTTACAAATCTCTGAGAATGTTTTTTTTTTATACTAAAATTGACCATTATATTCTACTGTGAGAAGTGCTGGCTGCACTATATTGTTTTAAAAATGAGAAAACAAAATGATAAAAAAAGAAAAAAAAAAAAAAAAAGAAAAAAAAAACCAACACAAAACCCGCAAGCCGTGTGTCCGGATGGTGTTTTTCCCAAAGTAAAACCAGGATCTTGCTGGATGTGTGCTCTGGAGTCTCTTTGCTTTGCTGTGGCCTCCCCCAGAGCCAGGACACCCCCCCTGCTCCCAGAGATTTTTAGGGCACGGTGGAGCACCTATAAATAACCTGTTAACGATGCTGAGCCATTAATCCCAGCACCAGTCTCTGCCTCACACCCAAGGGGTGGCACATGGGACAAATCCCTGGATTAGGGCTGTGGCCTCACGTGCACCCTTGGGATGCCCGTCCCTCATGGAGCAGTGGGTGCCAGGGTCAGGCACCGCGTCCCCATCCTGTCACCAGTGCAGGGGGTGGCATCTCCACTGCCATCCGTCACTCCTGTTCCCACTGGGTTTCCATTTTAGGGCCATTCCTGGTGCCCAGGTGGGGTGGGGGCTCTGGTGGCCCTGAATCCGACCCCGCTGCTCTGCCCAGCAGGATATCCACAACAGGATAATGGGACTGAATCCCAAATTGATCCTGGCTGTGGATGCATCTCCCCGGCCTCTGTGTCCCACAGTGGGACACACGGCGTGGCCTTATCCCAGCCAGAGAGGGGACAGGGTGACAGAGCTGCCTTCTGTGCATGACCAGGAGGGTATGGGGATGGGATGGGATGGGATGGGATGGGATGGGATGGGATGGGATGGGATGGGATGGGATGGGATGGGATGAGATGGGACAGGATGGGATGGGTACCAAGGGGAATCAATGGGAACCAATGGGAATGGGAATGGGAATGGGAATGGGAATGGGAACAGGATGAGGATGGGAATGAGGGTGGGGATGGAATGGGATGAGTTGGGATAGGGATGTGGGTAGGACAAGGAGAAGATGGGAATGAGATGGAGACAGGGATGTGGATAAGAATGGGGAAGGGGATGAAGATGGCGATGGGATGGGATGGGATGAGGATGGGATGAGGACAAGGACACAGCCACGTGCCTGGAGCTGCCCCATGGCTGAGGCCAGGGCTGGCAGCTCCATTTGCCTCCTCTGCTCTGTCACCACAACGGCGTGCATGGCTCCGCCGGTATTTATGGCACGCCGGGAGGGGACCTCTCTGTCACCAGCAGCAGCGAGCAGCGTGACAGCCGATCCGGGGAACAAAGAGAAATTGGGACAAAAGGAAATTCTCACAGAGGTTAACATTACTGCTGGGGGGGTGCCACTGCCTGCCTGCGCGTTAAAATTATTCCGTCTGGAGGAAGATCTTCGCTCAGATCTTTGTCATTAAAAAGACGCCACATCAAAGGAATGTGAGGCTGGAGCTTGGCGGGGCTGCTGGGGGCAGGGCAGCCCCTCCTTGGGGACCCCCTGCACCAAAGGGGGACTCTACAGAGGCTGGGGTGCACAGAGCCGTGCTGGGGGCTCCAGGAGAAACTTTGCTCCGTCAGCGGTGCCCGTGGGAGGAGGATTCATTAGCGCTGCCTCCATCAGATTTCCCAGCTCGCCATAAATCAGGGCGAGCGGCTGGGAGCGACGGCGCGATCCATCTTGCAGGTCTCCGAGTCATTACATTTCATTAGGAGGTGTGCGGGGGTTTTTATTATTTAGCAGGTTAATTCTCCCCTCAGATCGCTCCTTGGGAGGAGGATTTCTCTGGGCACGGGGAGGCTTCAAGTGAGGAATGCAAAACAAATGGGTTCCTCCTTGGTGGGCACCTGCTGCAGTGCCAGCTCTGGCAGGTGCAGGTGAGCACATGGGGACACAAAATGTGCACAGACACTGGTGGGAGATGGGGCAGGGACACCTGAGGTACAATCCAGCACCGAGGATGAAGACACCACAACCCACTGCCCTCCCATTCTGTGGGGCACAGCATGCACGAGCACTGTGGGAACACACAAGGAAACAATGCTGCTTCTGGCCTACAAATACCTTCCTGTTCAAATTATACCACTAATAATACCAATAATAATACAAATTTCTAAGTGCACGAGGCTGATATTAAACTTAGCCTTTGCTGTTTGGGAGCGAGGAGGAGAGACAGGCAGTATAAATTGCACGGCTGCAAAAGGACTTAAAAAAACCCATCTCTCATTTTGATTGATATTAGCTTCACAAATTAAGCTTTAGATTTATCTAAAAATAAATTTGCTTCCACGCTCCGCATTCTGGATGACAAGTGCTTTTCTCTTCCCTTTGTTGGGTTTGTCATCTCTGGCAGGGCGGCACGGGGAGGGGCGGGAGGGGGCCGGGGCCGAGCACCCCCCGTTCGCCGGCCCCCCGCTGCCTCCATCACCACAGCTGAGGGTGAAACAGCTCCAGGCTTGGTGGGGCAGGGGGTAAAAGGGCCAAAGTCAATCCCTGAGGGTGGCAGAGGCCTGCTGTGCTGGGATGTCACCATGGTGGCTGTGGTGTCCCCGTCCTCACAGAGCCACCGCGGGTGCAGAGCGATGGTGCAGGGGCTTGGTGACAGCTGTCCTTCCACACCCCAGGTCTTTTTAAAGCTCACTGATATGTGGCCTCTTGGCTTTGGGGCATCGAGAGCTGCATGGGAGGGGAGAAAATTGGTTTATGTCTCATTTTACTGGAAAATCCCATCTCTGGTGCTGCAGCTGGGGGCAGAGCCCATCTCTGGCTGTTCCTGAGCTCCTCAGCCACCACACACGGCCCAGCCAGGACTGCCCACTGTGGATCTGTGACCACCCACTCGGGTGAAAGCCAAGTTCATTGTTTTCACCCAAGATCCAGCCTAGAAGCAGAGCAGCTCAGCTCCTCATTCGATTATGAAGCAGGAGCCGCCACCTCCGCCTCTCCCGAGGAGCAATAATGAAACATATTCATCCCTCACCCTGGGGAAATACTTAAACCACAATATGAGAGATGTATGTAAATCACATTTAAACGGAGACGGTGCCGTTAACGCTGACGGCGACTCATCAAGTTGGAAGATGAAGTGTCCCCTCTGCTGCTAAAGCGTTTGCTGAGAGAGCTGGGCTGTCCCCAGGCCCTGGCCAGGGTCTCTGCCAATGTCACCATGCCACTGGTGCCCGCCCAAAGCGCTCCTTCACACCCGCACAAAGTTCAGCTGTTAAAGGAACGCTCACCAGTGCAGGTGGCTGGGAGGATGAGGAGGAAAGGAGTTACAGAGGGGTGATGGATGGGATGGGCTGAGGATGGGAATGGGATAGGGATCCATGGGGATGGGCTAGGGACAGAATGGGGATGGGGTACGGATGTTATGGGGATGCGGAGAGCTGGTTTGCCGCTGCCCGGTAGCGGCCCCACCCCTGAGCTCGGGGTGCGGGGTCAGCCCGGCCCGGGCTCCCCGCGCCCGCCGGGGCCGGGCCCGCATCGCGCGGTGTGGGCTGCCCTCCAGTGGAGAGACCGTGCACGGCACCCCTGCACCGCACCTGTGCATCGCATCCATGTGTCACACCTGTGCATCGTATCCCTGCACCACACCTGTGCATCGTAACCGTGCACCGCACCTGTGCATTGTATCCATGTGTCACATCTGTGCATCCCATCCATGTGTCACACCAGTGCATTATATCCATGTGTCACACCAGTGCATCGTATCCATGTGTCACACCTGTGCATCGCATCCATGCGTCACACCTGTGCATCATCACATCCCTGTACCACACCTCTGCACCACGGCCCTGCGCTGCATCCGTGCACCACACCTGAGCTCATCTCGATGGGTGACCATGCCCAAAGGCACGGCATGGCTTGGCCTGGTTTGGCTCGGCTTGGCACGGCCGGGGAGCAGGCAGCTCCTCCCTGCGAGCCCTGCCGGCAGCGCGGCTGTCCCACCCGGAATCACCCAGCGCCGGGAGGGCACGGCGGTGGCGCGCCAGTCTTTATTACTAAATAAATAACCGTATAAATCTTGTGCAAAACTCTGTGGCAAAACCTCGGCGGGGGCCGTGCTCCCCACCCCGGGCCGAGGCACGGCACGGCACGGCACAGCGAGGTGAAGCTGGAGCTCGCCGGTGAGAGCCGCGACCGCGGGCAGCGCCGGGCCCCGATGCGGGCGGGACAGCGGCTGCCGGAGGGGACACAGGCTGCGCGAATCCCTGAGGAGCAGACAAGCACCATCGAGCCCAGTCGCGGTTCCGGAGCCGCTCCGGGGGCCCGGGCAGAGTCCATCAGCTGCCGGTGCTGCCATGCTAGAGCGGGGAGCTCGGGGCATGGCCGTGCCGCCGGTCCCGCGGCTCGGCTGTGCCCAAGGTGCCCAGGGGCACCACCACCTCCTCCGGCGGGCAGCTCTTGTTCAGCTCCACCACGCGTGGCACCACCGTCGACC